AAGTATGGAGAATTACGCTGTGCATCTTCTACCGTATGCGATTCATCGACCACAATCGCGGACACCGTTCGATGTATTGCGCTGGAGTGCGTTATTCTCTAACACCGAGTAATAGAGAAAATTGAGGTGAACTTTCTCGAAGCACTGAAATTTACTGTTTCTGTCATAAGGTCCATTGCTTTACGGCTCAGCGACAACATTTCAGATATCTGGTCGTCGATAGTACTTTTTAGAGGAGGCGGAGGAATTGTGATCATACAGGTTTTCGTTGAGGATATTTCTTCTTTGGCCATAGCAAAGACAGTAAAGATCATGCTCTCGCCAAATCTTGTTGACAAAATTTCCATGACATCTCTCCTTTGAAGAAGACTGTAAATGGCCATTTCCTGTTTAGGCTTCAATACAATTGCCCTGTTTTCCCGTCAAATATTCAAGATCGACGACGCTCCGGTCAACGCTTCTTTGATATTTTGATTTTGTTTTGCGGAGGTGATTTGTTCAGTCCCTCGAAACTCTCCCATGGGAGATTACCAAAATATTTGATTGACAGGCGAACATTCCGAACCAATCGGAACGATCCGTACGCTGGCGTGCGGACCGACTCAAAAAAGCCCCCCGTCCGTGCAGGCGGTTTTTCAAGTTGCTTCCGCCCCAATCTCCTCGCGGTTTCTCTGCCCTCGCCCGCCTTTATTACTTAGCGCGCCCAACCAAAACCGCCATGCTACGCAGGCTACAGCGGAGCACACTAAAGAACGCTAGTGGTGGGGAAAGAAGAGCTGAACTTTGAAGATCTGCAAGGAAGGCAACAATTTATTATTAAAGTACGTTCCTGGCGGTTTTATAACCGGCGAACAGAAGTCCTCGTCCAAAAATCGCCAAAAGTTATAGATCGCTTCGTCTTCAATCATCTTGCCGTTGATAACGCGGGTCAAACAGCAGATAATAAGCACACAGGCAGCATGATTTTTCGTTTCTTTCTTCTGGCGAGTAAAACCGACAAGCCGTTGGGAGATAATCTTTTCAGAACCAGTCAGTAAACCTCATCTGCTGACAGGCCTTTTCCTTCATACAGTTCTTGAACTGCTTTTTTCTATTTTCCTTTGAAACTGAAATTGATGCCTTCTAATGATGAATTCCCGTAGAGAAATCTCAACACGCTTCACTAACGACATATGTTTAGTTGTGAATGGTAACACTCAAGTATCTGAATGACATGTAGGTGACCAATTAGAACACGCTATTTAGATCTTATCAAGTTTTGACCAATCAGGATTTTAACATTCGCCTGGTAGATGTTTTATTAAAATAATGAGAAAAACAATGGTTTCCTGGCAGGCGTTTCCCTCCCTCCTTCCTCGCGCCCCCATCGCGTTTCTCTCGCGCCCAAAACTCCCGGCCAAAACTCCCTTTCCTTTCAAACGCCTGCCACGCAGGCTATAAATACTTATCGTGTATAAATAAAGATTATTGATTGATTGATTGATTGATTGATCTCATGCAAAAGGACCGACCAATAAATTAGATTACGGCCTAGAATGTCTCCAGGGAATTAGCGATAACATTCCCACACTTGCCGGTCACGGAATAAAATTTATTGAAAGCATAGAATTTGGAGGTTTATTCAATGAGTCATCTTCCTTGCGCACAAGCTTACTCACGTTTCTTAGAGGTACAGTCAAAGTTTTCGCGTTATAAAAGCCGTAATCTGTGCTAAGGCTTTATCTGGCGATTCATGTTATTGGCGCTCAAGAAAGTCAGATCGACCGCAGCTGAATTGTAGTGTTACTGCAGCTACTTCGCAGCGTTTGAAAGTCGGCAACTGCGCTGCAAAACCGCTGCCGAGAGCTTCAAAGAACCTTCAAAGGCTGCACAGCGCTTTTGCAGCCCGCTGAAACTTGAATGAAGCTGCTGTTTGGCTTCTAAAAGGCTGCTGAACAGCCGTAATTTAGCTGTACAGCTATTTTGAAGCGATTTTGTGGCGCTGTACAGCGCTGCAAGTTTCGTGCGGGACTGGCCGGCACACCTTCACCAAGAATTTATAGGAGTATTTACAACTTTAACTCAGTTACGTGTCTTGCTATTTAGCAATCTTCTGATCTTATTTTTCCTTACCTAGAACCAATTAGCACCGTTTTCACCAAAGTAGTCCGTAGTCTGTATTTTATACCCAGTCCGCAGTCCGCAGCCAGTCCATATTTTCCAGTCCGTGTTTTATGGGCGCCGGGAAAGCCGGAAACCGGAATCCGAAATAGGAACGGGAATGGGAACAGGAAGCGGAACCAGAACCGGATCGGGAACGGAACAGGGACAGTAATGTGCAGGGCAACCGATACAATAACAGGGACATCATTTACCTTATATTATTTTAATTCTGATTCAATTTATACAAAAAATAAGAAAACTAATCTGGTATCATGCTCCCCCCTGAATCTATATTACGGTAACAAGAAAGTAAAAAAAGCAGCAAGTAAAATAAGTAAAGCAACAGCTTTGCGAGTGCATCGTGCTTTCTGTCAATTTCTTCACCGTCTATGCACAACTACGACGTAAATGATCAAATCTTAAGTTCTCTTGAGAACGTGAACGGCAGGCGATAAATTTTATTGTGTCTTTCTGAGCTCGGACGCGGTCTCCAGCTTCATTTCCCAACCTTTAAAAGACTGGACAACTTGGAATTAATGAGAAATAGTTTGAATTAAGACCCGAATTCAATTTCTCAGTGGTGGAAGTAGAAGTTTTCTATCTTTCGGTACTCCGACTCAACAAATTCGCACAGTGGAGGGTAAGAGGAAGAATTCAGATTCGTTCTGTGAGACAGAAGCGTTCGTCAAGCGAAACATTGAACTTCCGGTTGCTATTCATGAAGCCCGCGACGGTCAGCGTTCTCGTTGGCTAAGTTCGCTATTATGTTTGACACGAAAACACAATGTGTCACTGGCTAAAGATAAAGAAAGGTTAATTAGATTAACATTTCAAGGGTGTTTTCTTGTTTCTTTTATTATTTCTCTGGCTTTTTATTTAAATCACGATTATATCTTTTTCTTTTCATATTTCTATACACTGTTTATATTCCCCTTCCTATTCCGGTTCCTATTATATTTTTCCCTTATTTTTCGTATATAATCTAAATAGGAATTAAATCCAGATTAACTTAAATTAAGGTAAATGTTGTCAATGTTTTTATATAGGTTTCTCTTCCCATTCCGGTTCCTATTCCGGTTCTGCTTCCTGTGCCTGTTCCTATTCCCGTTCCTATTCCGGATTCCGGTTTCCCGCTTTTCCAGACGCCCGTGTTTTATACCTAGTCCGTATTTTATACCCAGTCTGCAGTCCGTAGCCCGCAGTCCGTAGTCCATGTTTTATACTGACCGATATACCATGTACGAGGTTGGTGGCTTGTAATTGTTTTCTTTTCTTTTTTTTAGACCTGGACGAATGCAAGGATAAAACTCATCAGTGTGACGGAAATGCGAACTGTACCAACATTCCTGGCTCATATAACTGCACATGCAGGCCTGGCTACACAGGAAATGGGAGCATTTGTAATGGTATAATTAACTATACAAGCCTTCACTTCATTTTTCTGCAAGTAATTTAGTTTTCTTTGCAACTTAATATTTTCTACTTCCTCCAGAAATTGATGAATGCAAGGATGGAAGTCATGACTGTCATATAAATGCGAACTGTACCAAAATTCCTGGCTCTTACAACTGCACATGCAGGCATGGCTACCAAGGCAATGGGAGCATTTGTAAAGGTAAAACGTGCTGATAAATGTCATAATAAGACTTAATTTATATTCATTTCTTGTTTTTTTCGTTTCCTTACTCAGACATCGATGAATGCGAAAAGCAAAGCTACGATTGTCACAAAAATGCGAACTGTACCAACATTCCTGGCTCATATAACTGCACGTGCAGGCCTGGCTACACAGGAAATGGGAGCATTTGTAATGGTATAATTAACTATACAAGCCTTCACTTTATTTTTCAGCAAGTTATGTAGTTTTCTTAGTAACTTAATATTCTACTACCTCCAGAAATTGATGAATGCAAGGATGGAGGTGAACCTGCGTAGCAGGCGCAGGGAAGTATTTGGGAGCATGAAAAAAACGGGTGGTGTCCCCTTCTTTCTTGCGCTTACACTTCCAAGGGCCTGCCACGCAGGCTAGGATGGAAGTGATGACTGTCACATAAATGCAAACTGTACCAACATTCCTACTTCTTACAACTGCACATGCAGGCATGGCTACCAAGGCAGTGGGAGCATTTGTAATGGTAAACCTTGCTGATAAGTGTCATGATAAGATTTAATTTCTATTTATTTCTTTTTTCTTTTTCTTACTCAGACATCGATGAATGCGAAAAGGGAAGCCATGATTGCCACATGAATGCGAATTGTACAAACACGCCCGGCTCTTATAACTGCACATGCAGGCCTGGATACACAGGCAATGGGAGCATTTGTGAAGGTAAAAATTTGCCGGTTAATTTTTGTGATGCGCCTTTAAAGAGTCGGGACTCATAGCTACCTTTGATAGTACTCCCTTTGATACTCTTTCATAGTTATTCTTACACTTAAAACTAAGATGGTCACCTGTTACGGACTTGAACAATGAAAAGTGTTCTTTTTGGATGTACGGACAAGAGGTTCTTTTGCGAATGCCAACAGCCTGGGATAGAAAACATCTGTGGCCCCCGGGAGAGGAGAAATTCCGCAGCAAAGATAAATCTTGTGAAGCTCTGCCTTGAGGTCCAGCTCCTTACCTTTCTATATATTTCTTTTGAGAGTAAAGGTACCCCTGGCGTCCCTTACACAGTACCTTCAATTGACAAATGGTACCCCTTTCAAAGTCGTTAAACTGTGAATAAATCAGAAAACCAGGAAATTGTCTCGACTTTTTCACAGCCATAAAATCCTTCTATTGGCCCTTTTAGGTCTTTTTACAGAGCAAAATGACACAGATTTCCCTACCCTCTCATATACTTAAACCACACCTAAAGTCTTGAAAAGGTACCCATTTCGCAATTCGGGCGGAGCTTCCCGTATAGGTCATTGTAGGGGGTTCCCCCTGGGATTTATGCTTGCTCTTCTCTCAATCAGCATGCTACAAAACTGATCATTTTCTTACGTTAAATGCCTAGGATTATATATATACGATTTGCAAGGTTGGGGGCTCGTATTGTTTTCTTTTTTTTATATTAGACCTGGACGAATGCAAGGATAAAACTCATCAGTGTGACGTAAACGCGAACTGTACCAACATTCCTGGCTCATATAGCTGCACGTGCAGGCCTGGCTACACAGGAAATGGGAGCATTTGTAATGGTATAATTAGCTACCCAAGCCTTCACTTCATGTTCCTGCAAGTATAGAGTTATGTTTTCTTTGTAACTTAATATTTTCTACTCCCTCCAGAAATTGATGAATGCAAGGATGGAAGCCATGATTGTCACATAAATGCCAACTGTACCAACATTCCTGGCTCTTACAACTGCATGTGCAGGCCTGGCTACCAAGGCAATGGGAGCATTTGTAATGGTAAACCTTGCTGATAAATGTCATAATAAGACTTAATTTATATTCATTTCTTGTTTTTTTTGTTTCCTTACTCAGACATCGATGAATGCAAAAAGGGAAGCCATCATTATGATTGCCACATAAACGCAAATTGTACAAACACAGCTGGTTCTTACAACTGCACATGCAGGCCTGGCTACACAGGCAATGGGAGCATTTGTAAAGGTAAAAATTTGCCGGTTAATTTTTATGATGCGTCTTTAAAGAGTCGGGACTCATAGCTCCCTTTGGTAGTACTTCCTTTGATACTCTTTCCATAGTTATTGTTACACTTAAAAAAAAACCAAGATATCACCTGTTACAGACTTGAACAATGAAAACTGTTTTTTGGATATACGGACAAGAGATTGTTTTGCGAATGCCTGTAGTCTGGGATAGAAAACATCTGTGCCCCCCAGGGGAGGAGGAATTCCGCAGCAAAGGCTTATCTTGTGAAGCTCCGCCTTGAGGTCCAACTCCTTACCTTTCTACATATTTCTTTTGAGAGAAAAGGTACCCCTCCCTTACACAGTACCTTCAATTGACAAATGGTGCCCCTTTCATGATCAAATACCTAGTTTGGAACTTTGCATTACTTTTAGCTGCTGTAAATACAATGTCTTTAAACTGTGAATACATCAGAAAACCAGGAAATTGTCTCGACTTTTTCACAGCCATAAAATCCTTCTGTTACCCCTTTTAGGTCTTTTTACAGACCAAAATGACACAGATTTCCCTACCCTCTCATATACTTAAACCACACCTGAAGTGTGGAAAAGGTACCCATTTCGTAATTCGGGTGGAGCTTCCTCATATAGGTCATTCTAGGGGCTTACCCCTGGGAGTTATGCTTGTTTATTGTTTTCTTTTTTTTATATTAGACCTGGACGAATGCAAGCTGGATAAAACTCATCCGTGTGACGTAAATGCGAACTGTAACAACATTCCTGGCTCATATAACTGCACGTGCAGGCCTGGCTACACAGGAAATGGGAGCATTTGTAATGGGATAATTAACTGTACAAGCCTTCACTTCATTCTTCTGCTGCAAGTAGTTATGTTTTCTTTGTAACTAATATTTCTAATTCCTCCAGAAATTGATGAATGCAAGGATGGAAGTCATGATTGTCACATAAATGCCAACTGTACCAACATTCCTGGCTCTTACAACTGCACATGTAGGCCTGGCTACCAAGGCAATGGAAGCATCTGTAAAGGTAAAACTTCCTGATAAATGTCATAATAAGACTAAATTTATATTGATTTCTTGTTTTTTTGTTTCCTTACTCAGACATCGATGAATGCGAAAAGGGAAGCCATGATTGTCACAAAAATGCGAAGTGTACAAACACAGCTGGCTCTTACAACTGCACGTGCAGGCCTGGATACACAGGCAATGGGAGCATTTGTAAAGGTAAACATTTGCCGGTTAATTTTTATGATGCGCCTTTAAAGAGTCGGGACTCATAGCTCCCTTTGGTAGTACTCCCTTTGATACTCTTTCCATAGTTATTCTTACACTTAAAACCAAGATATCACCTGTTACAGACTTGAACAATGAGAAGTGTTTTTTTTGGATGTACGGACAAGAGGTTCTTTTGCGAATGCCTACAGTCTGGGATAGAAAACATCTGTGCCCCCCAGGGGAGGAGGAATTCCGCAGCAAAGTTTTATCTTGTGAAGCTCCGCCTTGAGGTCCAGCTCCTTACCTTTCGTTTTATTTCTTTTGAGAGAAAAGGTACCCCTCCCTTACACAGTACTTTCAATTGACAAATAGTTCCTCTTTCAAATACCTAGTTTGGAACTTTTCATTACTTTTAGCTGCTGTAAATGTACTGTCTTTAAACCGTCAATAAATCAGAAAACCAGGAAATTGTCTCGACTTTTTCACAGCCATAAAATCCTTCTGTTAGCCCTTTAGGTCTTTTTACAGAGCGAAATGACACAGATTTCCCTACCCTCTCATATACTTAAACCACACCTGAAAAGGTTTGAAAAGGCACCCATTTCGCAATTCGGGCGGAGCTTCCCTGTATAGGTCATTGTAGGGGGTTCCCCCCGGGATTTATGCTTGCTCTAAATCTCTTAATCAGCATGCTACAAAATTGATTATATTCTTGCGTTAAATGCCTAGGTTTATATACGATGTGCGAGGTTGGTGGCTTGTATTGTTTTCTTTTTTTTATATTAGACCTGGACGAATGCAAGGATAAAACTCATCAGTGTGACGTAAATGCGAACTGTACCAACATTCCTGGCTCGTATAACTGCACGTGCAGGCCTGGTTACACAGGAAATGGGAGCATTTGTAATGGTATAATTAACTATACAAGCCTGCAGTGACTTCATTTTTCTGCAAGTAGTTTAGTTTTCTTTGCAACTTAATATTTTCTACTTCCTCCAGAAATTGATGAATGCAAGGATGGAAGTCATGATTGTCATATAAATGCGAATTGTACAAACACACCTGGCTCTTACAACTGCACGTGCAGGCCTGGCTACACAGGCAATGGGAGCATTTGTAAAGGTAAAAATTTGGGAAGACCTTAGATAACAATGACCTCAACCAGGTTGTGGCGTCCAGCGGCTTAAGTGAAAACAAGGATTTGGGCCGGTGGGGTGCTCAGTCTCGCGGGCTCATATAACCTGGTCTCAGTCATTCTTATTTAAAGATTTTCAAAAATTTTCCGATTAATTTTTATGATGCGCCTTTATAGATTCAGGGCTTATAGTAGCTCCCTTTGATAGTACTCCCTTTGATACTCTTTCCCTAGTTATACTTACACTTAAAACCATGAAGATGGTCACTTGTTACAGCAGTAAGCGCTCGATCTCAACGATCTTACGGAAGTAGTCTTTGAATTGCTCTTTGAACTTCATCTTTTTAAATTTTCTGGGATTCCAATGTAGGAGGTAGCTTTATGTGTAATTCTGGAATTTTGGTTTTTCAGATGTTGATGAATGTGCTGACAACTTACATGACTGCGACGCTAATGCAAAGTGTAAAAACATCCCGGGATCCTATAGCTGTGTTTGCAACGCACCATATAATGGATATGGGAAAAAGTGCATTAAAACACGTGAGTGTAGTATTAAGCTGAGAAATATAACATGATCCGAGTGAAAGTTGGAGGAGAATGGGGGGTTGATGGCTTAGGGCTTGTTTACATGGTGGTTGGGGACCTCAGGTAGGTGACGAGTCCCGCTTAGATGGGGTAACCCGCCTGTCCATATAATCTCTCATTTTAATTTGATCATGTTTCCATGATAGGTGGGGTGACCTGCCGCATGTTACCTAACCTTTTCTGGGGTCCCCCACGTCCATGTGAACCGGCCATTAGTTGGTACTGCGCCTTGGGTCCTAATGACGTTTAGAGAAGGCAACAACTGCTTTAGGCCCTTTATAGGGTGATTTCGACTGTCGCGTAATTTTTACGTGCGTACGAGCAGAAAAATGTAACTACATTCGCAAATAAAAGAGAGGCAACGTATGAAGGATCGCGTGTAAAAGTAAAAGTTGAACTTCGCCCAACTTCACGTTTAAGTGCAACAGGGCTGCGTACCTTGTCTCTATTTTAGGGCCTGTTTACATGGAGGTGGGGGACCTCAGGTAGGTGAGGTAACCCGCTTAGGTGGGGTAACCCGCCTGTCCATATAATCTCTCATTTTAATTTGATCACGTTTACATGATAGGTGGGGTGACCCGTCAAAGCTGGTAGACCGGTCTGCCAGATCGGGTTACCCTCTCAGCTGGGGTCAAATGTTGCCATGTAAACGTTTCAAGGTGGGGTAACCCGCCTGGCCGGGGTCGGATTCGTAATACATCAAATTTCCCCAAAATTCACTTTGGCGGTGGCTTTGCATCATTATTAAAGGTAACAATAGAGAGCCACATCACTGAAGGTTTCAGCAAGAGCAGCAAGTGATCATGAGTGTAGAAGAGCATTAATCGCCAAAACACGTGGTTTGCCAGCATTTTTCCTCGTTTGCGTGCTTAGCGACCATTCAATAATCCTGAGAAAGTGCACCCCGGGATGGCGGGGTTGTAACATTGCATATAAAGGAGGGTTTTTTTTACGCCACCTCAGCTGGTTACTTCATTTACATATAAAGGAGGGTTTTTTTTAAAGCCTCCTAAGCGGGTTACTTCACCTACCTGGGGTCCCCCACCTCCATGTAAACAGGCCCTTATTTACGCACGTGAAAATTACGCGTCCACCCTTCATGCAGGTGCGAAAAGAAAGGCGTGCAAAAAAATTTAGGCTTGTATCGGATTCAAACTCTTGACCTATGCGATACCGGGGCAGCGCTCTAACTAATCGAGCAAGCAAGCCATCTAGGAGCTGGTCATTATAAAAATGGGTCATTCCCTGGGTTCAAACCTTTCACAAAAATAGGTCATCTCCGAATTATCACTTTCAAAATGAGCCTGAGTGCAAAA